CTCTGCAAACAAAAGCAAGATTAAACGTTTTGCTTTTCTCTACTTAACATACAGTCACAAAGTGAAGCACAAATTTGAATACTGTTAAGTCTGAAGACGGATGGGCAAGACGAGATTCGTTCCCGTTAAATCACATTTTTGCCAATAACATTACTTTGTTTTTCTGTCCAAAGGGAACATTTTCAGAAGCTTGAATTTTATTTAGCTAAAGGATATGCAAATCTGGATTTACGTGGTGAGTAGCCGGTTGATATTATTCTCCCTGGTCTAAATAGTACTGATATATATTATCAATGTACTGCCTTGTTCAGACTTCATCTGAGTATCACTGAAAACTGATTATTTCATTTTGTACTACGACATGGTAAATTTTCTATATTAAAGCTTTAAGAGCATTCAGTTTGACGAAGACAGCTGTTTTTGCGATTAACCTGAAATTCTTCCGTTTGAACACTGCAGCAAATTTAAAACCTGTTCGGAAAAGAAACAATTTGATGTTACAGTTGCTTAGAAAGAAATTCTCCTCGTAATTTATAATGTTCATTTCCAGTATTAATTCTGCGTTTTTCATCGAATAAATTAAAAATAAACATTTACATGGTTCAAGCGTTGCTTTCCCATCTTGTTATTCTAATTTCACACTTAAGTTGTTTTCTCCTTTATAGGCCACCTCATTATAGCCATATAATTCATCGGGTATTTTTAGATTTAAGCCCTAGTTGAGGCATATTTAATATGAGCAATCTTTCGGTAACAGTAGGTTAGTTCATAATGAAAAAGACGCAATTACTCATCGTCACCAGCTTTTTATTTTTGCCGACTTATATCTCGGAGTTTCATTTTTAATTGCTAAAACCTTTTGGCAGTCTATTAATTGTGGCCCTGATGTTACACTTCCAAATTCTGTCTGCAGCACATTATTATGAACGACAGAGAATTACGTATATCTCAGGTTTAAATTATTGTAAATAATCTCGCGTCTGAAAAACTGATTTTAGCGAAACTCGGCTCGTTCGCGGCTCACAGACATGGTTTATCGCTTTTTGGGCAAGGTTTATACTTTAATATCAGTCTTCTAACATTTCAATATTCTTGACAGTCCATTTATGTTTTCGTGTTGTTGTTTCTGTAGATATTTTTCACATGGCACGGAAACTTACACGCTGTAAACCCGCGCGCTGTACATCAAATCCGACGGCGCGAGGTAAGCCTACAGCCTTCCACTTCATCCGGGACATCATTATCTCCGTCCGCGCCATCGTCAACTCCGTCGATACTAGGTGAAAACAAAACATCTTCAAATTTCAATTTTTGTAGAAACTTTACGTTACTAATAGTCGATTACTTTTCTGTTAAGATATCGTAAAATTTGGTTTAGTTTGATATTTTGTTTTGTGGGCAGCTGATTTCAATGAACCAGTCACCCTTATTTGGTTATTTTTAAGTTAAATTCGTTTAGACTTTGAATAGCTTCGATTTCTAATCACTTTGTGATATCGAATGATTGATCATTTCACTTCGATTTCAGGGCTTTAGTTTCGTTTACTCGGCAAATCCCGCTGTGCAAAACTCAGGGGCCGCGGGTCCTAGCGCGTTTGTTTAACTTTGTTGTTCGCGCCTTCTAGCCAACACTAATTGTTTTTGTCAGGGAATGAATTATTTGAAGAAATTAAAGTATTTTTAGAAGTAAGAGCTACTTTCAATGTTTCCCAAACCAAGTTAATAGCCAGATACAGCTAATCACCATTTTTAATTTACTTTATTTTGAAGACGAAATAATAAGCACGCGTTCCAAATAATAAATATACATCCGACTTGTTCAACATTCGCTATTTTTTTCTGTAGCACGGCCACATAACTGTTTGTTGTTTTTCTACGATTTGCCATTTCTAAATAATAAACTGAAATATTTAAGGTCTTTCGTAACTTGAATTTTGGCCTTATTTGGGCTTGCTCTAAGCATTTTCTTATAAGCCAAAAAAATTCTTTAAGTGTAAATGCTGTCTTTAAGATTTTTATTCATAAATACTTTTCGAAAATGATGACGTCATAATAATCATGTGATTTCCCTCACAGTGTTGTCCAGTCAAACGCAAATCCAAAATGACCGGTGATTGTTGCGTTTTCAAACTTCTCCGGCGTAGTGTGGACGGAAAACATTTGATGCGCTTTCAGAGTGAAAACACCGTCTTCAAATTTGAAATATCTGTAGAACTTGTCATTCGTCCCTCTAGTCAGAGTCGCCAAATGTCATATGCGAATAAATAAATACAGAGCCATAAGGAGAATCTGTCATGCAAAAACGTAGCTTTTCTTGCGACCTATGGAGTGTTTTCGCTCACGTGTTCAGCACACATGCAAATTTATTGGATCAAAAGGAAGTGTTTACATAAGAAAAAACTTCAACTTCCTCAGGATTGCTTGCCAATATGTCCTCCGTTTCATTGTTTTGGACACCAATATGGCTACGCGGAAGTCATATGAAAACTATCTATAAATAAATAAATAAATAAATAAGCAAACAAATAAATAAATAAACAAAAAACAAACAAACAAACAAACGAATAAAGGAATGAATGAATGAATAATAAAAAAATTATAAATTAAAAAACACAAAAAGGTGTTTTTTTCATCTAACCTGTTGATTCGTTTGATGAGATCGAATCTCGGACCCGCGCCATGTAAGGTTTGAGTTTGTTACTGTTCTCTGCTTTGCTCCGAGGGTTTTTCTCCTAGTTCTCCGGTTTCCCTCCGTTCACAAAAACCAACAGTTCTTAACTGCAATTTGATTTGGAAACAGGGGATGAAGAACTTCTTCGCGGGATGATAATCAACCATCTTTTCGAATTAAATCTAGTTCGAAATCCTATTTCTCTTTAAAATGATACATTGTTATGAGAATAAGTGATAAGAATTAACGAAATCATCAACGTGGCTTACCAGCACTTCCCTAATACTTATTATTTTTGTGAAGGTTTGCGAAAATTAAACGTGCCAAAATTATCCTTAAGAAGACAGAATCTGGCGAATGTTACTTGTTAACAGGCTCCTGCTGTTAACTATTAGACAATTGTCACTTCTTGCTTTTGGTTCTGTAATTGTTGTTGACACAAGATTTATTTGTTTTGCGGTTCAAAAGGAAAAAAAAGCACCCATGCGGAATTTTGATTATCGAACTATATAACTATGCCCTAGTCTTCTGAGAGTCAGAATCGAAGTGTATTAAAAGCATACAACTTAGGAGTCAGTTCTAACATAGAGTAGAGGTAATAACTAAATTTATGTTTCTTATTTTTAGCGGACGCACATTTAACAACTGCAAGCTTGGTATCAACCCCAGTGGCCTCGAGCGTTCCAAGAAAACCCTCACTGCAAAGCGAGGCAACCGTCAAATCTCAATCTAAAAACGAGGCATATCCTCTCTCCGCGAGTGAACCTCGATCTGAAACAGAGCCTGTAACCAAGGCACAAGCTGAACCTCGTTCTGAAGGAGAGGTTAGCCCAGAAGGCGAGTCGACGTCAGAGCCAACTTATGACCCAGGAGGAGAATCAGAGCCTTACGCGGAGCCAGAAACTTGGCCTGAGCCGGGCCCTCAATGGAAAAGGGCCTTTGGACAATGGAAGGCCGCCTGGCACATTCACGTGTATCTATTCGCTACTGCATTTCTCTGCATTGGCTTTTATGCTGGTTATTATGTCGTGTTAAACATTTACGACGGTTTGGGCGGCAAGTATTTAAGCGTCTGTTTAAACGGCATGGTCCTTCTGTTTGGACTAACAAGGGCCTTCGTGTTGTTTTTGGATCCTTATCACCAAGGGGGCTTTATAAATGCTCTTTTTGTGATGCGCCTGTTATGGTCCATAGGTGGCCCATGCTTGACCGCATCGGACTCGCTTATTATTTTGGCCCTCGTAGAGACCGCACAAGTTTCCATTGCGCCGCCGAAGTTCCAGAAGCTTGGAACGATTTCAATTGTAATTGGCGTTCATTTTGTTCTTGTTATTGTAGCAGATACGGTCGTATCTTTGTATATGGAAGCTAAAGTCATGATTTTACTCTGCCAAATATTTTTCTCCTTATGGGGAACTGTGCTGGGTGCCGGATACGCGAACCTCGCTTACAAACTCGACAAGAAACTCTTCAGTCATAAACAGATCAAAGACAAGGGCGACAAAATATATATATTTCTCATTTATGCTTCTGCTGCGGCGAATTTCTTTATCTGCGGTGTTATGGTGTACACCATGGTGGGGGTGTTTGGCGTTTATGCAGACATTGAGTTCGTGGATGCCTGGCATTGGTGGACTTTACAAACTCTATTTCGCTCAGGCGAGGTTATCACGTGCGTATNCAATTTCGAAGCAGCTGTACATGCTTTGCAGAGGAAAACCTTTGGCTAAACAGAATTGGTAGAAAATGTAAAATGAGTATTTCTCGCTTACGTCCATTGGGGACTTCGTTTGCGAGAAAGAAAAACGTAAATTCGTTTATTTTAGATGACTGAGGTCACATTTGCACGAATTCAGCACAACTTAGTTTTCTCTTTGCCCTGACGAAGGGCTTACACTCGAGAAGTTAGTTTCTCATTTCTCTCCCTGAGGAGTTGTCAGTTTCTTGTTATTGTCATTTAGTTGATGAATAGCAATTAGTATTTGGTCACAAACTAACGCTACTGCTAGTTCATTATAAGTCATCCGTTGTTAAAAAGAATTATAGCCAGTTCGATGAAAATTTTCGAGTTCAATGTTTTTAATTATATTTCCCGTGGTTCGAAAACGGAAGTCTGAGAGGCAAGATGACCACCTGGCTAGTTGGCTAGACTCCAGATGGAGCGGCCTGGGCTCGAGCCCTGGCCGGGGACATTGTGTTGTGTTCTTGTGCAAAACACTTTACTCTCATAGTGGCTCTCTCCACTCAGGTGTATTATGAATGGGTACCGGCAAATTCAATGCTGGGGGTAACCCTGTGATGGACTAGCATCCCATCCAGGGGGGAGTAAAAACACTACTGATCGCTTTATGCTAAAAAAAAATTGAAAATAAGCGCTGGCCTGATGGACCAAAACACATGCGGTGATCACATGCGAATGATGTCATTTGTCTAGGTCCCCCGGGAGGTCAGACTTTAGTCCTCCGCGGCTAGAATGGTCCAAAAACGGACGTCTGAAGTTCTCTTCGAAATGTCTATTGAGAGAATGTGTCTGTTGAGAGATAGAGCATCTTTTGGTTTGGTGGAGGCAGTGTGGTTGAGTGGTTTAGCGCGCTGGTGTTGAAACCCGGATGCCCTACAGCCCCTAGTATAACTTCTCGCACTCCGGAGTTTAACCGTGTTATTTTTTTATATATATTTTGTCTGTTCGAGTGGCATATCTTGAAAACAGCTCGCTCATTGTATTTCGAAGCTAAGTGCACTGGCCGCTATCATCACACTTTTATTGTTTTTATTTCATAATTGGAAAATAGAGAGATTCGATGTGTAAAAAGACGACTGTGAACAACAAACAACTCGTGCGGTATTTATTTCGCAATGCATAATTTTCATTATACATCTGTCAGTTTATGCATCTGCCAGTCTCGAGTTCAAATTTTTCGCTTTTAGTCGTCTTCTGGATAATTGGCAGCTGAAAAGAGGTTCCATTCGTCTATTTGCCATTACAAGAAAACATACCTCGACGAGCTGTCATCCTGCATAGCTGGTTATTTGGGGACACCCTTCATTTATACCCTACAAAAAGCTGTACAACTGCTTTGTGTTAATACGAGTAGTCAATATTTTGCTGGCGTCTTTTTTAGATCCTTCTACTAAACGCAGCCGTCTGTTCCTTTGGGATGACTAAATTGCTCTCTTGATCACAGAGTCGGCAAAGGCGCTTGCATTTGATTGGTTGCCAACCAAAACCAGCTCTTGACATTTTCTCGTAAGCGAAGTGTCGCAAATTGCACGCTCGTGAATGCAGAGCTGATTTTCAAATTTAATTTGCAAGCACCAAAATCAACCTCAGTCCGCCTGCTGAAAGGGAATATCAAAACGAATCAGAGGTAAGAAAAAAGAGCATTCTATTCAAATCTCTGATTCGAAGAGAAGTTTATTTCCACTAACGGGATCGAGAAAAATGGCTATTCACGCCTGTCATTTTTAAAAAAGTTTGTTTTTCTTAGTAGCCATGTCGTAGATAGAAAAAATCCCTTCGAGCAAAAAGTATATACAGTAGTTGGCTTTCCGGTGATTAGCAGAATACTGTTTCACCGGCGGCCCCCGAAAGCAAAAACAATCTTGCCTTAGTCTTGGCAGGTTATCTATTATGCAAACGAAAAAAATTCTGGCATTTGCTTATTTCCTCTGCAAACAAAAGCAAGATTAAACGTTTTGCTTTTCTCTACTTAACATACAGTCACAAAGTGAAGCACAAATTTGAATACTGTTAAGTCTGAAGACGGATGGGCAAGACGAGATTCGTTCCCGTTAAATCACATTTTTGCCAATAACATTACTTTGTTTTTCTGTCCAAAGGGAACATTTTCAGAAGCTTGAATTTTATTTAGCTAAAGGATATGCAAATCTGGATTTACGTGGTGAGTAGCCGGTTGATATTATTCTCCCTGGTCTAAATAGTACTGATATATATTATCAATGTACTGCCTTGTTCAGACTTCATCTGAGTATCACTGAAAACTGATTATTTCATTTTGTACTACGACATGGTAAATTTTCTATATTAAAGCTTTAAGAGCATTCAGTTTGACGAAGACAGCTGTTTTTGCGATTAACCTGAAATTCTTCCGTTTGAACACTGCAGCAAATTTAAAACCTGTTCGGAAAAGAAACAATTTGATGTTACAGTTGCTTAGAAAGAAATTCTCCTCGTAATTTATAATGTTCATTTCCAGTATTAATTCTGCGTTTTTCATCGAATAAATTAAAAATAAACATTTACATGGTTCAAGCGTTGCTTTCCCATCTTGTTATTCTAATTTCACACTTAAGTTGTTTTCTCCTTTATAGGCCACCTCATTATAGCCATATAATTCATCGGGTATTTTTAGATTTAAGCCCTAGTTGAGGCATATTTAATATGAGCAATCTTTCGGTAACAGTAGGTTAGTTCATAATGAAAAAGACGCAATTACTCATCGTCACCAGCTTTTTATTTTTGCCGACTTATATCTCGGAGTTTCATTTTTAATTGCTAAAACCTTTTGGCAGTCTATTAATTGTGGCCCTGATGTTACACTTCCAAATTCTGTCTGCAGCACATTATTATGAACGACAGAGAATTACGTATATCTCAGGTTTAAATTATTGTAAATAATCTCGCGTCTGAAAAACTGATTTTAGCGAAACTCGGCTCGTTCGCGGCTCACAGACATGGTTTATCGCTTTTTGGGCAAGGTTTATACTTTAATATCAGTCTTCTAACATTTCAATATTCTTGACAGTCCATTTATGTTTTCGTGTTGTTGTTTCTGTAGATATTTTTCACATGGCACGGAAACTTACACGCTGTAAACCCGCGCGCTGTACATCAAATCCGACGGCGCGAGGTAAGCCTACAGCCTTCCACTTCATCCGGGACATCATTATCTCCGTCCGCGCCATCGTCAACTCCGTCGATACTAGGTGAAAACAAAACATCTTCAAATTTCAATTTTTGTAGAAACTTTACGTTACTAATAGTCGATTACTTTTCTGTTAAGATATCGTAAAATTTGGTTTAGTTTGATATTTTGTTTTGTGGGCAGCTGATTTCAATGAACCAGTCACCCTTATTTGGTTATTTTTAAGTTAAATTCGTTTAGACTTTGAATAGCTTCGATTTCTAATCACTTTGTGATATCGAATGATTGATCATTTCACTTCGATTTCAGGGCTTTAGTTTCGTTTACTCGGCAAATCCCGCTGTGCAAAACTCAGGGGCCGCGGGTCCTAGCGCGTTTGTTTAACTTTGTTGTTCGCGCCTTCTAGCCAACACTAATTGTTTTTGTCAGGGAATGAATTATTTGAAGAAATTAAAGTATTTTTAGAAGTAAGAGCTACTTTCAATGTTTCCCAAACCAAGTTAATAGCCAGATACAGCTAATCACCATTTTTAATTTACTTTATTTTGAAGACGAAATAATAAGCACGCGTTCCAAATAATAAATATACATCCGACTTGTTCAACATTCGCTATTTTTTTCTGTAGCACGGCCACATAACTGTTTGTTGTTTTTCTACGATTTGCCATTTCTAAATAATAAACTGAAATATTTAAGGTCTTTCGTAACTTGAATTTTGGCCTTATTTGGGCTTGCTCTAAGCATTTTCTTATAAGCCAAAAAAATTCTTTAAGTGTAAATGCTGTCTTTAAGATTTTTATTCATAAATACTTTTCGAAAATGATGACGTCATAATAATCATGTGATTTCCCTCACAGTGTTGTCCAGTCAAACGCAAATCCAAAATGACCGGTGATTGTTGCGTTTTCAAACTTCTCCGGCGTAGTGTGGACGGAAAACATTTGATGCGCTTTCAGAGTGAAAACACCGTCTTCAAATTTGAAATATCTGTAGAACTTGTCATTCGTCCCTCTAGTCAGAGTCGCCAAATGTCATATGCGAATAAATAAATACAGAGCCATAAGGAGAATCTGTCATGCAAAAACGTAGCTTTTCTTGCGACCTATGGAGTGTTTTCGCTCACGTGTTCAGCACACATGCAAATTTATTGGATCAAAAGGAAGTGTTTACATAAGAAAAAACTTCAACTTCCTCAGGATTGCTTGCCAATATGTCCTCCGTTTCATTGTTTTGGACACCAATATGGCTACGCGGAAGTCATATGAAAACTATCTATAAATAAATAAATAAATAAATAAGCAAACAAATAAATAAATAAACAAAAAACAAACAAACAAACAAACGAATAAAGGAATGAATGAATGAATAATAAAAAAATTATAAATTAAAAAACACAAAAAGGTGTTTTTTTCATCTAACCTGTTGATTCGTTTGATGAGATCGAATCTCGGACCCGCGCCATGTAAGGTTTGAGTTTGTTACTGTTCTCTGCTTTGCTCCGAGGGTTTTTCTCCTAGTTCTCCGGTTTCCCTCCGTTCACAAAAACCAACAGTTCTTAATTGCAATTTGATTTGGAAACAGGGGATGAAGAACTTCTTCGCGGGATGATAATCAACCATCTTTTCGAATTAAATCTAGTTCGAAATCCTATTTCTCTTTAAAATGATACATTGTTATGAGAATAAGTGATAAGAATTAACGAAATCATCAACGTGGCTTACCAGCACTTCCCTAATACTTATTATTTTTGTGAAGGTTTGCGAAAATTAAACGTGCCAAAATTATCCTTAAGAAGACAGAATCTGGCGAATGTTACTTGTTAACAGGCTCCTGCTGTTAACTATTAGACAATTGTCACTTCTTGCTTTTGGTTCTGTAATTGTTGTTGACACAAGATTTATTTGTTTTGCGGTTCAAAAGGAAAAAAAAGCACCCATGCGGAATTTTGATTATCGAACTATATAACTATGCCCTAGTCTTCTGAGAGTCAGAATCGAAGTGTATTAAAAGCATACAACTTAGGAGTCAGTTCTAACATAGAGTAGAGGTAATAACTAAATTTATGTTTCTTATTTTTAGCGGACGCACATTTAACAACTGCAAGCTTGGTATCAACCCCAGTGGCCTCGAGCGTTCCAAGAAAACCCTCACTGCAAAGCGAGGCAACCGTCAAATCTCAATCTAAAAACGAGGCATATCCTCTCTCCGCGAGTGAACCTCGATCTGAAACAGAGCCTGTAACCAAGGCACAAGCTGAACCTCGTTCTGAAGGAGAGGTTAGCCCAGAAGGCGAGTCGACGTCAGAGCCAACTTATGACCCAGGAGGAGAATCAGAGCCTTACGCGGAGCCAGAAACTTGGCCTGAGCCGGGCCCTCAATGGAAAAGGGCCTTTGGACAATGGAAGGCCGCCTGGCACATTCACGTGTATCTATTCGCTACTGCATTTCTCTGCATTGGCTTTTATGCTGGTTATTATGTCGTGTTAAACATTTACGACGGTTTGGGCGGCAAGTATTTAAGCGTCTGTTTAAACGGCATGGTCCTTCTGTTTGGACTAACAAGGGCCTTCGTGTTGTTTTTGGATCCTTATCACCAAGGGGGCTTTATAAATGCTCTTTTTGTGATGCGCCTGTTATGGTCCATAGGTGGCCCATGCTTGACCGCATCGGACTCGCTTATTATTTTGGCCCTCGTAGAGACCGCACAAGTTTCCATTGCGCCGCCGAAGTTCCAGAAGCTTGGAACGATTTCAATTGTAATTGGCGTTCATTTTGTTCTTGTTATTGTAGCAGATACGGTCGTATCTTTGTATATGGAAGCTAAAGTCATGATTTTACTCTGCCAAATATTTTTCTCCTTATGGGGAACTGTGCTGGGTGCCGGATACGCGAACCTCGCTTACAAACTCGACAAGAAACTCTTCAGTCATAAACAGATCAAAGACAAGGGCGACAAAATATATATATTTCTCATTTATGCTTCTGCTGCGGCGAATTTCTTTATCTGCGGTGTTATGGTGTACACCATGGTGGGGGTGTTTGGCGTTTATGCAGACATTGAGTTCGTGGATGCCTGGCATTGGTGGACTTTACAAACTCTATTTCGCTCAGGCGAGGTTATCACGTGCGTATTAATCTTCACTGTCAGTGCCAAGAGGTCACGTATTAAGCGAGCTTTAGATGAAGTCTCCGAATTCGATTCACAGTCACGAACATTTGACCCAACAAGCGGTTGTTCGGCGTTCAGAAAGCTTCAAATACTCTTTGACAGACTAAGGAACGGAAACAGAGTCTCTGAAACTGCCGTTTGTGTCGAAGAAACGGAGAACACTACAGGAAGGAACAGAAGTAGCTTTAAAAAGAAAACTGCGAACACAGCCAGCGAGGAAGATGATACGCTCCCCCCCGTCTTTGAGGCATTTCAAGAGAGGGGCAGGGGGAGAAGACAAAGCTTGTTTTCTCACATGCAGGCAGTGACCGTCGAAAATCAAATTTCACAGCTCCAACTAGCTCCTGCTGTTGCATCCAAAGGAAGAAGACGAAGACAAAGTTTATTCTCTGCTATGCACGAGGCCAGCATCAACAACGCAATCTCTAATTTTGCTCAAGTGTTGACTCAAGCGAGCGACGAACCTATGAAATGCGAGTCCGTCGAATCAGATGAAGAACCTAGCGAGGAGCCTAAGGCCCTTCCTCGCAGGGGCCGGCGTACGAACGTATTCTCAACCCTTCCGGAAATAAAGCCGGAGAAAGTTCTCCAACGTCAAACAATGATGGAGGACATAAGGGAAGAGTCCACATTTTATGAAGCAGAAAGCGAATCGAGCCGCCCTCGACCTCAATGGCCTCTAATGAAGAGGCGGAGCTCAGAGAGATTACGTCAAATACTGTCTCACTGGCTTTCCTTTAAAGATTCTAGAATCGAATCAAAACAGGACATTGTTGAAGAAGTCGAACCTGTTGAAAATGAGGAAAAATCTACCGCGGACTCTCTGCCAGAAGAAACCTGTCAGTGAAGTAAATCAGTTACAATCACAAGCAACTCAAACCGGCAGTCTGGCTGTCAATCATACAACAGATTGACATTTGATGGCCTTGCAAACGCTTCAATTGTCGAGTTTATCTCTCGCATTGCATGTCCTACTGTGTTTTTAGTAGAGCTCCTAGACGAACCCAGCAAACGAAATTCTCTCAGATGGGATTGAGAAACATCATTTGTTTCGTAAAATATAAATTATTCCTATACTGGAGTCCGCTTTACGGGAGGAATCACTGGTGCAATCGACTTCCTTGCCGTAGTAAAACCCCCCAAACTTAACGCAGCGGAGACACAAAAAAACTGTAAATAAAGATATTTTTAATAACATGTTTCTAATCTTCAATAGTAAACAACGCCAGGATTTTGTGTACAAGTTTGTTTACAAGTACAATTTTTTCTCTAAAATTGGTTTCCAACCGCGGGTATTTTTATCTACCATTTAGGTTCGTTAGCTGCCAACGTCGTCGACGCAGTTTTCCGTTTCGTAAACGGTCGATGCCA